CTGGGGCACATGCCTGGGCTGTGGGCCAGGTCCCTGGTTGAGGGTGTGTGAGATGCAACCAATCAATGTTTATCTTGCACACCAATGTTTCTCTCCCTCTCTTTCTCCCTCCCTACTCCTCTCTGTAAAAATAAATAAACAAGTAAATAAATAAATAAATCTTAAAAAAAAGATTTAACTGTGCCCTTAAAAAAAAAAGATTTAACTGTGCCCTAGGGACCCTCTGTTAAGGCTCAGTGTTGTTGCTGTGATCTTAAGCATATAAAACAGTCTGAATCCTAGAGTAGGGCACATGATAACTTTATAGTTAAACTGCTTTTATGAGAAAAAAAAAAACAACAAAAAACCTTAAAGGGCAAAATAACTGTAATAGAAATTCATTGGCATGTGTGTTTTCCTTTTTTTGTGACGGCTTTTACTGGGTCAGTTTTAATATAATTCTGAGTTGCTTGATCTAAGTCAAATGGAAAAGAAATCCGTTGCAGGCTTATACATTTTAAAAAGGTCGTAAATGAGTTAAAATTTACTATTAAGGTTTAAAGAAATGCTTTCTAATTTCGATTCGGTTAGTTTTTGAAATGTTTTTCATTGAGTATTATCTGGGTTTTCAGAAATTTAAAGTGCATTAATATATATTTACTAAGCCGTACGAGTTTGATTTTCTTTCATCTTTCATTTTAAACCAGATAATGTGGAAAGTATGTTCAGTATTCTGGGCGAGAATATTGCTTGTGTGTTTACTTGTTTACTGACTCATAGGGTAGAAGAAGCAGAAATAATGTTCAAGTTTAATGACATTTCTAGATGGTATGGTGGAAATGCAGTAATTTGCTTTGGGTGGATCCTCAATATATCACTTTTGCTCCTCCACTGAAAATGATATGATTTAAGTTCTCATCGACTGAATTTTCTAAGACTTACATACCCTCAGAGTAAAAAGAGAAATAAAAATGAAGAGTATTAAACAACATTTTAGGCACCAAGTAGAACTACGATAGAAAAATAGATTATTTTGGATAAGTGTTATTATAAATAACTGGTCTGATGTTTAAGGTGGATAGTGAGAAGAAAAGGAAATTTTATTGCAAATTCCTAGGTATCCAAAGGCATCCAAGAGAATTAGAGGCTCTCTTATTCAGCAAGTTCATATATGGAAATTTGGATTTTAAAAAAATTGCTGACTTTTAGAAGGATTCTGTTTTTATAGGGTATAATTTCATGTACTAGAAATAGAAAAGATAATTTGATTAATTAAAATTCAACTTACTGATTTTTATTCTTTTAATACCCAGTATTAATATCTGTACTTATCATAAAAAATGAAGATAAATATCTATTAGTATGAGAATGAGATAATTATTTCCCATATTGCCCTTTAAGGGGAGTGGAACTTGCCCTTACCAATCTGTGGTGACTTGCAGTAATTGCGAGCTTCTTTCTGTACAGGGTGGGGCAAGTGGGAGTGTGGGGCATGGTTATGAGTGTAAGTATTCAAAATTGAGGACTGTAAGGGGCAGACTGCTGTACATTACTTGGACAGGGAGATTTAGAAGCATGTGGGGAAGGTCCAGAAGCTGCAAAAAAATCAACTAATGAGGCTGAACGGGATGTAGGTGAACAGGGAAGAAGGGTGATTCCTGGTTGGTGGAGTTGCCCAGGTGAATTTATAGAACACCCAATGTTTGATGGAGATTTCATGAGTGTGTATACCTATATAGTCTTATGTAAATCCTGGATCACTCAATGTTTTTGGTGTAAGCAGGTTATCTTGGGGTGAATACAAAGTGGTTCAATATTCTGCTTACTGGTGAACACTGTCTGTGAGTTAACTTACTAGGAATCTGGGTTACATTAGACTGTAAGGTTTGATGGGGGGAAAAAGTTGTGGGCCAGAAAGAACTAATAGTGTTATAGTTGGTCTGGCTTAGAGCTAAAAATGGTGACTGAAACTTTAATGATACTTGCATAGCCTCAAAATAATCTAGTAAAATATTTGTTAGTTACTTCAGTGGTTTTAACATATTGCCACACATTCTTTGAAAATCTCTCTCTGGGAGGTGGAGCTTAATTTTTTCCTTTGAGTATGGGCTGGGCTTATTGACTGTCCTTTAACCAATAGTGTATGGAAAGGAAAGAATAAGAACTTTATGGTAAAGAAATTTGCAGACACCAACTTATCTGCATGAAGAGAGTAAGGTTGTCATCCCCAGTCCTGTGTCATGCTGATGTCGTGTGCCCTTCAGTGCTATGCATCAAGAAGGTCACTGACCTCTGTTCTGTCCCCCACTTCCAAATGTATGAATCCTGTCTAATCGTGAAAAGACATCAGACAAACCCAAGCTGAGGGACATTCTATCAAATACCTGACCTGAAGGTACCTGAAGTATCTCTTCAAAAATGCTGAGATCATAAAAACAAGGAAAGAGAAACTTTCATGAACTGAGAACTTTCACAAATTGGAATCTGCTCCATAGTACCCTGAATTGGATTTTGGTAAAAAAAATCAACATTTGATAGTTGAGTAAAAACTGTAGATTAATGGTTTTGTAACAATGTTAATGTCTTAGCTTTCATAAACATACCATGGACATATAAGATGTTAATTTTTGGAAACAGTAGATGAAGGATATATGGTAACTTTAAGCTCTTTTTACAACTGTTCTGTCAACCTGAATTATTTAAAAAATAAACAAATTAAAATAAACCCATTCACAAGATTTCTTTTCTAAAGAAAAGACTAAAAAGATGACTTATAAAAGCAGTGAAAGGCTATTAACTCTTTGACTTAAACCCCCAAATAAATATATATTTTCCAATGTCACAACACCATGAAAATTGTTTTTCCAGAAAGAAAGACAACTTGGTACTTGAGCAAATATGGCAATAATAAAGGTGGAAGAAATCTGGAAAATTTACATGTATGTGATGAACAGAATTGGCCAATTGCAAAGTAAATTGTTATTCAGAGATTATGAAGGAATATTTATCCATTCAATAACATATCCTTACCACTTAAAATGTGCCCCGTAGTGTGTAAGAAGTAAAATGTGATCATGACAGTCAAGGTTCTGGCCTTCTGAAGCTTGTACCGTAGTGACGCCAAAAGCTTTTGTGTTGCTCTTTGGCAGTGGAGGCCTCTGGATAAGCCAGGATTATTTTGAATGTCTATCAAAGTAAGTAAAATTAAGCATATAAACGAGTTGAACATTTTTTATGCATTTAGTCAAAATGAAGTATGCAAACACTTGGGAAATGTTAATATAATATTCTAGTTTTTTTTATGTAAAGTGTTATAGGATTTTAAAAATGTGAGCTGTGGAAATCATAAAAAAGGGAAGAAATGGATAAATTCCAGTTAGTAAAATGGAAAAATTTCTTCACTAGAGAATATTCCAATGAGCCAAAATTGAATAGATTATGCATGTAGAATTAAATATTATCACAAAATTTACTCTATAATAAAGAACAAAAGCAAACATCAGAATCACTGCTTAACTCCCTGAAAGTATTATGATTGTAATGCTTCACCAGTGTTAACAATTCAGTAATCATTGTAGTTGTCTTTTATTGTACCTTTTAATGTTTTACAAGTATCAGAGTATTTTGTCTTCCTCTCCATCCGGTAAGCCTGATATTATATTTCCCCATGGAGAGGCAGACAGCCCGAGTCTGCGTCCTGTCTCAGTCACTGACTAGGTGAGTGACCTGGTTAGGATGGGGAAGTTATTCCAGTACTGGTACCCCAGTTGCTTCCTTAATTAAAAGGGCTTAGTAATAACTCACAGAATTATCAAAAAGATTAAAATGTTATATTCAATATATATAATGTATTTCTTTAATGTATTGAAGGAGAAGCAGAATGCCTGGATATGGTAAACACTATAAAAGTTTTATTATATTACTATACTCAAACCAAGATTATTTTTCATGTGGATGACGTCTTTTTCCTCAATTGCTTTTTATTAGTGGGAGTAGGAGCCATGGCAGAGGGAGCTGCAAATTCATGGATAGGGGGCCATGGTTATTTCATGTACACGTATATTAGTAGCCCCTAGCACAGTGCCTGGCACATTATAAATGCACATGCAAGTTATTTGTTGGATAAGTTAATGAAATTGAATATGATTGATTATACTCACATCAAAACAGTTTTTAACGTGTTCTGCTATTTACCTAAAAATCACTTTTCTGTTGATTGAATACTGTAGATCCTGTTGGAAAAGACTTCTAGCAATTTGGTTTTTCTCAATTTGTATGGCTTGTACATACACACCTTCTAAGTCTAAATGCTAGAACTGTCAAAACATTTTTTGAATAAATGGAATGTCTTTTAGACCTCATGAAAGATTGCTCCAACTATACATTTTTCCTTAAGTTTAATTTTAACATAGAAACAAACCCAAGAAAACACTTTTGTGGTTAACTTTTGAATTCTGTATCTTTAAAAGTTTTTCTTCTATTTTATTAATGAGAGAAGAATATAGAAAAGAATATTCCCCCCTGTGTGAAATTTGTTTTGAAGAGCCAGTTATATATTGTGATAAAATGTCATATATGTAATAATGATGCAACAAGCACATTTCTATTTTTTTTTGAAAACTAGTGAGCTAGTTTTTAATATTACATCTAAATAGTTGAACAGATAACATAACTTTTAAATACTATTATTTCAACAGGCAGTAAGTTTTGTTTGTTTCCAAGAAAACCATTAGCTGTCTGCACTTTCTAATTATGTTTCAAAATTCTGAAAGATGGGGAAAAAAGGTGAAACTAAGGGGAACTAAGTGGAAATTGATTAGGAAGATTAGGAAGTTGCTTCCATTCGATTCCAACTGAAATGTTGTTTGAGTTTCAGTAAGTGAGCAGGTTGTAATTCCTTTATATATTTCGTACAACTCCTGTTCATCTTCTTCAGCCTTTTCTTAGTAGGTCCGAGTGGTGTCTTTCAGTTTTAAATGTATATTGGTATAATACATATTTTCCCATCCCTTTCATTCTAGGCATTGAAGAAACAAGAAGCTAAAGCACATGAAGATGAGGGAGTAGTGAAAAATAAGCTAAGACAAACTGAAACTGAGAAGAGTCAAGTAAGATTTGAAAGTTATCTTTCAAAGGGTAATGCTGTTTGGGGCCGGTGATATTTGTTGAGTGCTTTGAGGTCATTCGTTAGACCAGAGCGCATCCTTTAGGTATTGATGTAGAGTCCCTGGGTTGGAAGCCTCTGCCATTTTGCTGTTCGCTCTTAAAAACACGTACAGGTTATTTGCTACCTTTTCATCTGGCCACTCTCCTTTTGTAGAGGTGAGTGAACCTTTACTGTTCCTTACCAGGGGAACACCTGGGGAGCTTGCCTTTGCTACGGGATTAGGAAAGACCTGTTGTTTAAAGGCTGGGCATTTTGGATATATTCATTTTTGTGATAGAAGATAGTTATAGTTCAGCCTAGAGGAAAAATCTTCTGTTATCATTAAATATTAAGGGCTTTTGACATATGGGGTCTGTGCAGAAGGTATCCAACCATATAATATGAAAAATAGAGACATTTATTGAAGAAGATACAAGATACAAGGAACATTGTACATAGGACAGTGATGCCTCAGTCCCCTTCAAAGTAGGCACCTTGGGACCTCACACAGTTCTCCCGGCTGCCATCAGCTGCACTGTCATATTTTCCTGAATCTCATTGATGGTCTGAAATCTCTTCCTTTTCAAAGGTAACTTTAGTTTTGGAAAAAGCCAGAAGTTTCAGGGTGCCAAATCTGAGCTGTATGGGGGCTGAGTCACATGGGTGATTTGCTGTTTTGCCAAAAAACTCTGCACGAGATGTGATGCATGAGTGGGCACCCTGTTCTGATGAAACTGCCAGTCACCAGTTGCCCATAGCTGCAGCCTCCTGAATCATCCAAATAGTTTCTGTGGAGGAATGTTCAAGCTTAATGTAAAATTCGATGCAGATTTGTTGCTCTGCTCACTCAGCTATCTTACTATTATTAATAGTAAATAATGTAACAGCCACACAATGCACATGCTCACTCAATAGTCTGCTGCCCCCATTGACCAGTACTGTGAAGCCAGCATTGTTCACGCATGTGCATTCCAGTCCACTGTCCTTGACTGCCAGGTTGCATTGATGTCATGCAAACTGTTCTTGTTATATTAACAATGGCTGGATTCTCTCTGGACAGACCATGTATATTCATGTCGGTGACCCTGTGAGCCTAGCATGTTAGAATTAGAAAGGAATTCAGAGGCCACAAACTGTTCTCAGTTTGCAAATGAGTAGATTTATGGATGAGCACAAGGTAATGTATGATACAGTGCAAATTTTCCCCTGATACAATAAATGTTCCTTACTTCATAATTGCTTTTTTATATCTAAAATGACTTCCATTATTTTATTTCACCAACCAATGGCAAGGTAAATGATGCATGCACACTCCCTTCACTGTAAACAAGGTATGTCAGGTCGTCAGGCCAGGTCTTTGGGAATTAAGACAGCTGGTACTCCGTGGGGATCATGGTGGAGATGGGCCTTGGTAGATTTTGAAACTGTTTTGACTGAAGTGTGATTTCTTCCTTCTTTATTTCTCCATAGAAACAAGAGTACAGGTGAGAAAATATTTTGTGTAGATCCTGTGATTTCACACATATTTTATTTTTTAAAAGTATGACATTTATTTTATGAGCCACATGTATAATTTTTAAAAAACATATAATGATTAAAAATTATTTTGAAGTAGACTCATAGGTTGTTGTAAAACAAAACCTACAGATAGGTCACATATTTCTCTCACTGTTTCCCTCCGTGGTAACATTGTGCACGCTTGTCATTTAATACTGAAGTCAGGAGATTGACATTGGTACAACCCTCCATTCTCCTGCAGCTTTATGCGCACTCCTCTGTGTGTCGAGTGTGTGTGTGTGTGTGTGTGGAGTTCTACACGGTTTTATCTCATGGACAGATTCACGTTACTGTCCCATGGTCAGGATGCTGCACCGTCCCGTCAGTGCGGTGCTCCCGCATGCAGCTCCTTGGTGGTAGTTCCTCCCACATGGGCAGTGTTTGAAGGACTAACATATCGATAGTAGGAACATCAGAAGAACGAGTGTTTGGTAAAAAAGTGTTTGCCCTGCTATGCAGTTAACACTTCCAGACAGAGAGTTATCTCTGGTAATAAAATAGCTCTCATTCTGTTACAGACCCCCTTTCTAAGCTCTTTCTCACAGTTAAGGGCAAGAGCAAAAGTACCTTGAGTCTGTTGGGTCTTGAGTGTCATCAGCTCAAAATAATCCTTGTGCCAAAAAGGCACATTTTGGGGTGGCATTCTGTTCCCCTTCCATCCTACTATATTTTTCAACTAAAAGTAACCTAAGCACATTCAGTCTTTGCAGGGTATTTAGTTGCCTAACAGGCACATTTTTTTTTTGTGGCTATTTATGTAATAGCAGTATTATTCAAGAAATGTTAAATGTCTTATTCTGGACTTCGATATTTAAAAATTTTAGCAATATTGTGGGTATTGGAAATATTAGGAATGTAAGAATACATGAATTCATCAGTTGAATGAAATATACTTTGAGTCCCTGGGTCTTTGAAGTTTTTACTCTAATTCAGTTCATATGATACTGTGGGTACTAATTTAAAGACCAAATTGCTTTAGAATGTAGATTAAAATGACTTAGAACTGGAAGGAATCTCAGAGGTTGTTTAGTATAAAAATCTTTACTTTAGAGGTAAGAGAAAGGAGGCCTAAGGAAAAGAGATTTAAACAAGGTCAAGCTGAGATGAAACTGACTGGGAACCCAGCCCTCTGGAAGCGTGGTCTGGTTCACTTTGTGTTATGCAGTCAACACTATTTCAGTGGAAGCATTCCTTTGTGTGTATAGCAAGATATTTATCCTTTTATATTATCTTCTGAAAACTTTTCAACTTTTCTCCTCTTCATCTCTGCTCATACAATTAAGTTAACTTGTGTCTCATTGGACATTTTTCTTCATCCTTTGTTGAAACTTCAGCTTGCCCAGGAATTGGAGCTATCTCGGAGGTTACTGAATCAGTCAGAAGGCAGCAGAGAAACACTTTTGCATCAAGTAAGTCTATGCAAGCTCTGATAAGCTGCTTTTAAATTAAGTCAGGACTGAGTCTTCTTCTCTATTAAATGTCTTTGTGAAAGGAAAAACCTAGGTCTAGAATAATTTTTTCATAACGAATGTATATCAGCATACATAAGTAAAAGATGAAATCCTTTCAGGAAGATTTAGAGAAAGCTAGTAAAAACACCAGCCTCAGTTTCCATGTGACCATGTATCTTGCTGGTGCTATTCCAGTTTAGGACTTATCTCTCTTAGCATAACCAGTGTAAAAGTGAGACTGGGTGTGTAAGATAAAATTTTCCCAGGGGCTTAATTTTCTTCAAGGAGGCACTGGAGAGGGAAGGAGGAGTACAATAAATTACAACAGACTTTTGCTCATTCAAAGTTACTTGGAATGCATCATTGTCTTATATTCATATTTTCAAGATGCTGGCTGTCCCTTTTTAACCAAAGGTGAGGCTTTCTTAAAGCATAATATTTTGCAGCCCATTGGCCCACAGTGGGAGTTTGGTGCTTCTGATGTTTAAAGTTCTATAACTTGAAATAGCCATCTTACATATATTGGATAGGGGCCTGTGGCTTTCTAATGGCCTCTCTGCCGGTGTTTAATATAAAATGCATTTGTACCTTCCTCTGTTTTGAGATGTGGGTTGCATAACTCACTACATAATATGTTATGGAGGCAAAAATGTCAGAAATCATATAGATGGTTAGAAGGAGTATTACATTTTGACAATTAGTGCTGAAAATACACCACATCACCTGTTTTACAAACCCTTTGAAAATATTCCTTGGCTTTGTTCTTCAGCCAGTGGTCCATTGGAATTAATGTTGGCAGAGTTCAGACTTTCTTTTTTGGTAGTTTATGTTTGTATTTAATTTCATTCTGATTTTTTTTGGAACTCTGATTTGTACTTTATTTATAATGTCATCTTTTGAAGTAAGAGATTTCTGTGTTTGGGTTGTCATTGTGACTTAGCTGAGTGTTTTTGCCATTGCTAACTTTTTAAATGGTCTTGGGGGATATACCTGGTATGTGCTGGGCAATTTTCTAGTCTCTAGAAATACAGAGATGAATAAAATAGTTCTTGACTTCAAGAAGTTTATAGTTTATTCAATAGTGTTTATTGCTTATTTAAAGGGAACAGTACTTTGACTTCAAAATATGCTAACTGATGATCATTTTTCTCCAGTTTACCAATCAAGAGGCCATGTTCACATGAAAGAAACTAAGTGAAAAATATGAAAACATGTAGTACTTAATTGGAGGTGGTTTTGGTTAATAGTAGTAGAGTGAACTGAGGTCCAAATAAAGGATTTTTTAAATGTGATCAACTTCTTTGTCACAGTAGACACAGAGAAGGGGAGAGGACATTCATTCTTTGTGGAAGGAATGGGAGGAATAAAGAAATGGAGCAAGAGATTATTCCACTGTGTTTGGCATGTCAAGGAGATTAGCTTGGCTTCACCTGGTGCTTGCAGTGGCCCAGCTGAAGTAAATATTTTCCCTAGGACAATAATTTGTAATAATTTGAGAGTTCAATTATTCTTTTTTTTAACTTTTAAAACTTAACAAAAGTTTTATTTTGACCATCTGTATTTAGGTAGAAGAACTCCGTACACAACTTATGAAAGCAGAAGGCGATCGAAAGGGTTTACAACATCAAGTATCTCAGATTTCCCTGCAGCAGTCAAACCAGCAGGATGAACAAGGAGATGACTGGAGGTTTAGGAGAGGTACCACTCTGATTTGTAAATATGTAGGGATTTCGATCTTTCTTAAATACTTCCATTTTCAGAATCACATTCCTTGTGTTGTGCTTTTGTCATCTTACCTATTTCTTGATTTACCACAACGTTTTCCAACAAGTTAATAATGTAGCATCCACTTTTTAACAACACACTTTATTTTTTAGTTTTGTATTTATAGCAATACTGAGCAGAACATACAGAGATTTCCACATACTTCTGCTCCCCCTCATGCCTGGCCTCCCCCATTATCAACATCCCCTGAAGAGAGAGATGTTTGTTATAACTGATGCATCTACACTGATCAATCGTGTCATCCCAAGTCCATAGTTTGCATTAGGGTTCATTCTTGGTCTTGTGCATTCTGTGGGATTGGACAAATATATAAAGACACCCATTTACCATTACAGTATCAAACAATAGTTTCAGTACCCTGAAAGTTCTTTGTGTTCCACTTATTTGTATCTTTATCTCCCTTAATATCTGTCAACCACTGATCTTCCTACTGTCTCCATAGTTTTGTCTTTTCAGAGTCTCATATAGTTGGAATCCTATGGTCTATAATCTTGGCTTCTTTCACCTTATAATATACCTTTAAGTTTCCTTCATGTATTTTCATGACTGGTAGCTCTCTCTCTCTGTTTCTCTCTTTCTTTTTTAAACATTGTATGAATGTACCAGTTTATCTGTTTTATCTATTGAAGGCATCTTGGTTGCTTCCAAGTTTTGCCAATTATGAATAAAGTAAACATCTGTGTGCAGATTTTTGTGTGGATGTGTTTGTCATCTTCTTTGAGTAAATCCCAAAGAGTGTGATTAATGAATTGTATGGTAGGAATATGTTTAGTTTTGTGAGAATCTTCTAAACTGTCTATCAAAGTGGCTGTACCATTTTTCATTCCTGTCAGCAATGAGAGTTCCTGTTCCACATCCTTGTCAGCATTTGCTGTTCTCAGCTTTCTGGATTGTAGTCATTCTATTAGGCTTGTGGTGGCATCTCATTGTTGGTTTACTTTGCATTTCCCTGATAACAAATGATGTGGAGCGTCTTTTATCATGCTTATTTGCCATCTGTATATCTTCTTTGTTGAGGTATCTGTTTAGGTCTTTGGCCCATTTTTTTTTCCACATTGTTTGTTTTCTTATTGTTGAGTTTTAAGAGTCTTATATGTTTTGGATAACAATCTTTTCTCAGGTATGCCTTTGCAAATAATTTCTCACAGCCTGTGGCTTGTCTTTTCATTCTGTTGACGTCTTTTGCAGAACTGAAAATTTCACTTTTAATGAAGTCCAGCTTATCAATTATTTTTGTTTAGCAGGATTTATTTATTTATTTATTTATTTATTTATTTATTGTTTTATTGTTGTTCAAGTACAATTGTCAATTATTTTTTATAGATTGTGACTTTGGTATTGCATCTAAAAAGCTGTTGCCAAAGTGAAGGTCACCCAGTTTTTTTTTCTATCTTCTAAGCATTTTATAATCTTGTGTTTTACATTTAGGTCTGTGATCCATTTTAAATTAATATTTGTGGAAGGTGGAAGGTCTAAGTCTGAATTCATTTTTTAGCATGTGGACATTCAGTTGTTCCAGCACCATTTGTGGAAAAACCGTCTTTTCTCCATTGTATTTCTTTTGCCGTTTCCAGCTCTCTAGATGGAGTTGCTCATTGGACATCTCTATATGCTGTTTCACAGTTGTTCAGTCCACAGATTAAATCTGAATTCATTCTTTCCTCAGAACCTGTTTCTATTTCTTATCTCAGTTGATGACATTATTGTTATCCGGATATCCAAGCCTAAAATACAAAGAAAATTCAAAATTATTTCTTCTCCCCTCCATGTAATTTGTACTGATACCCAGTCTAGTTATAGATCTTGAAATTTCTTGAATTTTCCCTAGCCTCTTTTTTGTTACCCCAGTTTAGGCATGCTTCATGTCAAATAAGTTACCCTCTTAACTTGTCTATTCTACTTCTGCTGTCATCGATCTTCTGTACTGCAGCCACTGGGGCCCTTCTAAGACACCAGCCATTCAGTGTACTTGATTAAAACCTCTCATTATAAGTCACTGAGTTCTAACTATGTACAAGGCATTATGCTACTCGTTTTACATGGTCTCCTTTAGTTCTTACAACTGCTCTATGAGAAAAGTACTATTTTTGTTTCTGTTTTAATGATTTTTTTAAAAGTCTGAGGAACAGATTGAGTACCTTGCCTAAGGTCGTTTGTGGGAAGGAGCAGACCCAAATGGTTTTCTCCTTGAACTTGAGCTCTTAACCGCCATCCTCTACTACCCACTACTGTGTGTAGTGAGTGTTCTTCAAAATGCCGTATAAGAAAAAAATACTCTGGGTGTGGGAGGAGAGGGTTTGTAACATTATTTATACTTTATATGTCATGTTTTAAGTATTTTAATTTTGTTAATATTTCATTATATATGTAGGTATGGGTATATACCTATATATTTACATATAGCCATGCTAATATTTTATATGTATCTATATTATAAAATATAGAAAATATTATATATGTCTTTATACCAAATATATATTATACTTCATAAAATATACATATATGTATATGTATTTATATATGTATCCATATGTATTATCTCCATATTTTATATAGTATATATTCATACTAATGTTATCCATGTATAATACTAACATGTATATTATGAAACATCTATATATAAATAGATATACACTATGGAGATATATATGATATGTGCATACATATATTTATAAAATAAAACATAAAATGCATACATACATTTATAAAATCAATAAATACATTTACAGTTAAACAAATATGCACATTTGTGGGTTGTAGACCTAGCAGGAGTGGGCAAAGTGCGACTCATGGGCCAAACCCAGACTTTTGTAAATAAACTTTATTGGAATACTGCTACTTCTGTTCGTTTATGTGCAGTATAGGTTACTTTGCAGTACAGTGGCAGAGTTGAGTAGTTGTGACAGTGGTCTGTGGTTAAAATATTTACTGTCTGACCCATTACAGAAAATGTTTGCTAATTCCTGGTCTGTAGGATAATTTTTAAGCTCCCTAGCAATACATAGCCTGCCTGCTGACTTCCCTTCCCTCGTATGTGTGAGCTACATAAAACTACTGTGCTTGCAGTCACCTTAACATTAAATCTAATTTTGTATCTTGGTGCTTTATTCCATTTCCGTTCCTTGAAATACCACCCCACTGCATCCCTTGCTTGGTGGAAGTTTGTATCTAATGTTTAAATCTACTTAGTATCCAATTTTTCTTACCTCAGCTTCTCACCAAGATTGAGTTAATCACTCCATTTTTTTGTACTATTTCTGTATAATAATCATTATGCTATTCAAGAATATCTATGAGGGGGAACCCAAAAAAACCCCTGGAATTATCTTCTGGAGGGTAGGCCCCTTGTTGTACAGGCCACCCCCACTGGGTGAGTGTTCTAGGAACCCATCTGTATCAGTGTACCAGCTGGTGTGAAGTTTTTTTTGAAGACTGAAAATGTTTGCCCATTTCACAATGGGTGATTTACAAGCACACCTACCCACACCAGGCTGAGTATTCAGCAGTTTTTGAAACGACATGACTCCCATGTCCCACCCTCCTATTCACCCAATATGGCCCCGAGTGACTTTGACTTTTTGTTTTTGTGTGTGTGTGGTTTCCCTGGATGAAACAAGTACTCAAAGGGAAATGTTTTGCCAATGTGGAAGAGGTGAAACAAAAAACAGCAGAAACGCTAAAAGGCACCAAAATCAATGAGTTCAAAAACTGTTTTATGCAGTGGAAAAAAAATGTCTCAATAGGTGTATTGCATCAAATGGAGAGTACTTTGAAGGTGACTGAAGTTTAAACATATAAGAATTAATGCCCAATTTTTTATAAATAAATTCTGTTTTTTGGCCCCCTCATATATAGTATCTGTGAGTATTCTTATCATGCTATTAAAATGCCTATGTACGTTCCATACAAGGTACATTTGATATTTTAAACACTGATATTTCTAAAATTAAAGTGTGTCGTATAAATGGTCTGTATATTTGGGTTGGTACTGTTTCTTTTCATCTTTTCTTGAAAGAAAATTGCTGGGAAAATAGTAGTTTAAAATTTATATGTTCCAATTTTTGACACCTTAGATTCAAGGAAGTACTTTGTTTCTGTTCTTGGAGTGCAAGCTCATTGAGAAAGGGTTTTTGTGTTATCTCTGAAGAAGATGATATTAAAATGTGCATCATAGACCAAATGTCTTATGTTGAGTTAAATACTAACTCAATTTTCTGGTTCATGGACATAGTTTCTAGATTTGTAGTCTCCAGCATTAGTAAGTTTGTGGTCATGCACAATCAGAGATTTAATGGCATCATGTGTTTATGTTGCAAGAAAAGCATTTTGTTGTATGAACTTCACAGTAACCTGTTGGGAGTAGCTGAGCTGAAAATTCTTTTAGTTTTTTTGTTAGACTTTGAAGGTAATGTAGGGATGTAAGGAAAGTTAAAGGAAAAAAATATGTAGGAGTTTTGAAATTAATTGGACTAGAAATCAGATAACATTTTGCCTCAGTATCAAAGTGAAATAATTGTAGAAAACTGCATGAGGCTTGAAACAATAGACTGGCAAAGTATGAAGCCTGTTGAATGACATTGTTAATAAGTGGATTATGTTAGCTGGAATATTAAGACATCAAGGCTTTGTACCATTTGAAAGTACATTCTCCTGTGAATAAAGAACAACCATCAAGCTTTAGATTTTTCTCTTTGAAGGCATTGAGCGGGAAAAGGAGGGTCTGGAGAAGCAGATGTCGGATCTGAGAGCACAGCTGAACCTCAGTGCCCTGGCCTCCGAGTTGGAGGAAGTGAAGCGGTGCGTGGAGCGAAAAGACAAGGAGAAAGCACATTTGGCAGCACAAATAGAGGTGACTTTGCTATCTTTAAGCCATATTCAAAGGACTTTAGTTTTGTTTCGTAGAATTGCTTAATGAAATTTTCATATGAAGATTGTGATATTTTATGAACTCTAGTTTAGGCTTGATAATATAAAGTTACGTAGATGACTGATTATATATGGGAATTTCTATGGAATTATTTCTCTTTCACTTGACCTCAAAGCCAGGAAACTATTAAACTTGAAAATATTTTTGTCCTAGGAGCAACTGAGTCCTTCCTACAGACGGAAAGGACCGTTCTTCTGAAGGAACAGTGAATTATCATTTATTTGGGGGGGAGAAACAGGCAGAACTCGCATCAAAAACGTATTACTGATACTTCTTCTTTAGAAACATAAAAGTTTTCAAGTCTCTACCTCTTTTGCCATAGAGGTAGAGTTGTGACGCCTGTATGAATTTAGGGTTGTGTAATAATTGTGAATGCTGTAACCATGAATGAAGTGCAACCAGGCAGCTACCGTTTCTCCTCACCTTTTGTCCAGCACAGATGGGGCAATTACCAGAAAATATTAAAAATCAAAGGAGAGAACTTCATGAAAAGGAAATGGCTTACTGTCAATTATCATTGTGAGAAGTAGATCAAACATAGATGACACATTCAGAAATAGATATGTGTCAGTCCTCCTCTGTATGTTTTTATTGTGTTCTAGTTGTAATAAGTGGCCACATTTGAAGAAGTCCCCAAATTACAATGAAAGGTAGAAAATTGGTGTTAAATGCATCTGACTTTATATAACCCAAAGGAAACATTTAATGTGACTCTAGTTGCGTTTCTCTTTCATCTTTTCAGTACATTTATGGAAAATATATTTTAGATTAGGGTCAAGATTCACATTGTAAAAATAATTAAATATTGACCTACTCTTTACAAAGCTCTTTACATGTTTAACGATTACCCGTCATAAATATCCTCAGAGCAGTTGTAATTGTAGGACTTTTAAAGTTTGCTTCATGGATATTATTGTAGTCCTTGATTCTCCTGACAGAAGTGCTGCTAAAATGATTATTTTTAAGTATTTTTAAAAGAACTATGTTAATAAATACCAAAGGTAGGAAACCCCCTTTGCCATGGTTTGTAATGACACACTGGTCTGTCCTTCCCTCCCTCCCTCCCTACTTCCTTTTCTTCCTTCCCACTTTTTTTTCATTTATCACTTGTGGAATAAATTGAAAAAAGATCTCAAATGTGTAGGCATTTAAAAAATTACTTATAATAACCTAGTAATGCTCTCATTCAAAGAGCCTTGCTTTCCCCTTGTCCTAACTTCACAGTTCTGTCATATTTTCATGCGAGTTAGGGAAGAGTTGGAATTCTTTTGTGCTAGTTTGGATTAGTTGTGTGGTTTTAATGTGAAAGACAATTGGAGAGAAAGGTTGAACATTTACTCACAAATCAAATACTTAATGACTGCCTGTTATGTGCCAGGCACTATTCTAGGTTCTGGTGACAGGATGATGAACTAAAATGCAGCAGATTTCCCTGCCCCTGTGCAGGTGACATTTTAAAACTGATGCAGAAAATTCTTTGAGTTTGTCTCACGTCTAATTCAGATTCCTTTTGGATGATGGAAGACTTTTCTCCCAGTTACCTTTGGAAAATGTAATCACGAAAAGGCATCATTCATTCTGGAAGAGATTACAATTAACCAGTTTTATTTTTGTCTGGTTTTCTTATATCCAAAAATACAGTAATTACCTTAATTAAATGTACATCAGTTTTTTTTAAATTTAGTGACATTTCTGATTATGGTGTATTTATTTTTCATACCTTGTAGAGGCCCCTTGCATATCTTTATTTCCAAGCTATTCTTACAGTGAAATCTCCTGCAGACTTGGTGAGAGATATAAGTCATGGGTCACTCAATTTAGCCTCTAACAGTTACGAATTTTATTGAAATTTAATTGAAAAGCATTTGGCCTCTGCTTAATTTTTAGAAGGTTTTTGGTATTATGTGATATTGCCTTATACATTTTATAAAAAATGGAAAGTAATCTTTTTTAGTTCTTTCTTTTAGAGATCAATTATAAATAAGAAAAGATGCACAAAATGAGATTATTATTCAGGCCCATTAACATATATATGGTCACATTTCTTATTATTTGTTCGATTACTGTCTTTCTCCTTGACTTTCTAACACTTCTGCTGAACATCATACATAGTCTTATTAACTTATTTTTTTCTTAAAATTCCAAAATCCCATCTGTTTTTCCTTTGTCCCAGCTGTCCACTGTTTCTGTAATGACCTTTGTGTAAATCCTAAACCTTATTCCTGAAGCCTTCTTGGATTATATCTCTTGAAAGTTATAATCCTTCCTTTTGAGCCATCCTTTGCCCACATCACTATGTTCTTATGGCACTTTTCTCATGCTGTCTTAAAGTAATCTGAGTGTATTTCTTCGGGATTTCAAAGCGGGTTGAAGTAAAGGAGAAAGGGGCTGCAGAAGAAAGCTGCCCTGTCATCACGACAAATCCAGTTTAGACGTCCTTACCTTAGTGAAGACATCATGTGTCCAAGTTTTGTCCTCAATCTGGAAACTTGAGTTTTCCGTGACCTAGAATTAAGGTGATCTGGGAGTCTGGTTCATATTAACAATGAAGCTGACAAGAGGTTAAGAGGTAAGAGTGCCAGTTCATCTTGACCCAGTGGGAGACCTATACGGATATTAAACACTATTCTCCTAAGCAAAGCACCAGTCTTCCAATTTCATATGCCTCGGTTTTGGAAAGCTGCTACTGAACACAGAATCAGAGAATAATGATGTCTAATGGACTGTTAGCTCATAGCAGTGGCAAGGCTTCCACACCCTCCGTCTCTCTGTAACAGAGTTCTTGTGAACAGAAATCCTTTGCCAGATTCTGTCTTTATCTCTGGAATGTGTTGACTTGGCTCCCTCCCTTCTTTTCTCTCTCTCTCCGCCTCCTTCCCCTCCCTCCCTCCCTCTCTCTCTCTCTCTCTCTCTCTTTCTTTCATCTTTCTAACAGTCTTTCACTCTGACATTTTGTATTTACATTTTCTTTTCATAATGTTGCTGTGCACAGATTTTGCTCTGGGCCATTTACCAGCATGCTGTTGATGTTACAATTCAAGCTTGTGGCATTCTGGGAGCCACTTGAATTAAAGACATAGCTCTTTTTGGATCGTAGATGAGTGTGGGTTAAGAACCAGGTCTTACCTCTGTATCCCTTTGTGTGCCCCTTCAGTGTCTTATCTGTATTAGGCACTGAATTAATGTTTGTTGACTGAAATAAAATTTTGTGGAACCTTTTTTAAAAGGTTTATTTAATTCTTATTTGAAAGAGAGGTAAGGAGAGAGAGAGAGAGAGAGAGAGAGAGAGAGAGAGAGAGAGAGATCGAGATCAAGAGAGAGAGATCAATTGGCCGCCTTCCGTATCAAGGATCGAACTCACAGCCCAGGCATGTGCCCTGACTGGGAATCAAACTGTCGACCTTTTGGTTATGGACCAATGCTCCACCTAACCAAGCCAAACCAGCCTGGGCTGTAGAACATTTTTATGGTTATATTTTAAGGCCAACATTGTTGTCCAGTTGTTCCTTAATGGCACATTAATTTCTGAGAATGTTGTCAGTATTCATGGGGACCTTTCCTGCTTCTCACTAATTGCATTGGTTTTTGTTGATCCAGAATATATATTTTAAGCAGTTATTTTACACTGGGGGAAACACAGTGAAAATAGCTTGTAAAAAACCCAAATTGAAAGCTACATTTGAGTTTGCATAATTTACCTTTCAAATTCCATCCAAGATTTTAAATTTGTATATGCATAGAAAATACTAAGTGCATTTTTTTTCTTCTTATAAACCTGAGTTGAACCTCATTAACCTTGATAGGCTATTTGTATTCATAAGAATTTCAAGCATCCTTGATCAATGATTCCCCCTGATTTAATCTCATTCTCCATCTTCTATCAATTTACTCTTCTTGAAAAAAAAAATTTGACTTTTAAATTCAATGAAGAACTTCAAAGGAAAAAAAACCCAAGGTGCTGTACATAATTTAGATTAAATGTTGAAAGTGATAATTGAGTGACAACTGACATGATTATTCATTAGCATAAACTTGGGACTTAATGCCAGAATTTACTTTTAAAAAGAGAAAGGGTAGTGGAAAACAGAAATGATAATGGATAATAACTTTTTTTGATGATTAGTGCAATAGAAACTGAAGGAAGTTTCCTTTTACTCTGCTTTTAGAATAAACTTCTTGCATTTCTTATGTGAAGCTGGCCACTTGACTATACAATAACACCCCCTCAACACAACTGTTAAACCCTTCTTAAAGACTTGCAGTCATCTTGATTGCCCTGTCTGTAATTTCCTATTGCACTTCTTTTTATCTTAATAATTTCTTCCTCATCCAGGTGCATGTTGTAAAATATTATCAGAGTACTAAGTAATTTTTTTTAAAGATTTTATTTATTTATTTTTAGAGAGGGAAGGGAAGGAAAAAGAGAGAGAGAGAAACATCAATGTGTGGTTGCTGGGGGCCGTGGCCTGCAACCCAGGCATGTGCCCTGACTGGGAATAGAACCTGCGACACTTTGGTTTACAGCCCGCGCTCAATCCACTGAGCTACGCCAGCCAGGGCCTGAGTAATTTTTTTTATCAGATTTTAAACAGATGACAAAGAAAACAAATGTTGGCAGCCATACTTTACAGACAGAGCTAAAACTGTCAAATCTAGCAGAGTAGAGGTCTTCCTGTTAATACAGTATAGTGTGTTAAGTCTGGACACTGATTCATTCCCCACTTCCTGGGGTTTGTTGCTGTTTACTTTTCTATGAGGTTGGTGAATTGGCTGGAGTAGGTCTGTGAAACCTGTTTTCCCTGCATTGCGCAGTCCTTTCTCCGAGGGCGTAGCCTCGGGTATGAGCACAGCCTGCATGGCCACCAGGGATGATTGTGGTTTTAGCCGATTCCTTTTGGCTGACTAGTCCCCTGATCTCCCAA